TACTTTAAAAAGAAGAAAACTTGTATCATAAAAAAAAAAATCTTTAAATTATAGTTTCTCTTTTCTGGTTCAATTTGAATTGTTACATGGTTGCTAAATTAGTGCTGTAATCTCTGCTTACAAATTGCAGAATTATTTTTAAAAATAGATGTAATTTTACTGCAGGGATCAACCTTACACTTTAAACCATATGTGCTGGAGGTAGCTGCTCTCGCACAGCTTTCAAACCACCACGCTCACGTGCACACATGGGGTGAGGCTTACAGTACCAGTCGCAATGAAGCCGATAGCAGTTTTACCAGATATTGTGCTCATTGAAGCACAGATTGATTTAACACCAACATTTCAGAATGATTAGCAAATTTAAGGTTCCCGAGCATGCTCCATGGTACCAACAGCTCTAGTCATACCCTAGTCATACCATTTCCTAGGACATGAGCCTTTCTCTTGTGTTCTGGTCTGATCTATCTTCTGCTACAGAACTACAGCCTCTGATAGGCCAGAAAGTTAGAAGCTAGTCTAAGAGAGAAACCTTGAAGATCTGGTTTTTTTTTTTTCTCACAAAATGAATCATCAGGGGGAAAAACGTGGAGCACTATGACCCCAAGTTTAAATCTGGGGAACAGCAGTGATCAGGGCACAATTCTTCCACCTTCAAGCACTTCCACAGCTTTAGTACTATGGAAAGATGAACCTCACCCTGAAAAATCGTGAGTGATCTTCGGGGTCATGTTCTCTGTATCTTGCAGCGTGCAGCAGAAACAGGAAACCTCGATCCCTGGGTCTCCACAGGGCACTGCAGAGCATAGCCACTATCTTCCCCCACTCTAGCTAGACAGACAGACATGTGAGTTTCTTTCTTTTCCTTCAATTGTTCATCATTTCTAGTCCACCACTTCTCCCAAACGTCTTTCATCTGTCCCTGGCTATTTCTGCTTTCCTTGGTTGGTTATTTCTGCTTTCTCCTCCCCTTCCCCATCACACCATGGTCCTACTCTCAGGGCCCAGAGGTGGGTCACATCAACTTGGACATGACAGAAGAAATCCTCAGAGGCCAGGAGCATCTCTAAGATCTTGCTGCTTTCTGCACTAACTGCTGGTATCCAGCACCTATCAGTCCTCAGCCTCAGAGAGTTTATCTCCAACTGCCAAGCACCAGACTGCCAGGAAAGGGGATAAAGAATGGAGGAAAATTTCCACGTCCCAGAGAAAGTAATCTGGACATCAAGGAACATCCCATTCACAAAACAGCAGCATCACTCTTGCCAGACTGGTGTGCCTGGTTAACCTTGTGTTCAGTCCTTATGATAATACAGTATTTGGAAAGCAGACAGCTGGCACTGCTTTAACATCTTGCTCTTCAATCTTTGATAACAACGGTTCTACTGATACTACTCTTAAGCTTTTTTCTGCACTGAGTCCAGACTAAAATCTCTTCAGCTACTTAGAGGAAGCAAACCAAATTTTTTTTTTTTTTGTCAGGAATTTGCCCTGTAAGGGAGGGAAAAAGTATACTGATAGCATACTGCAGACACAGCATTCATCACGTGTACAGCAGTACACTGGTTACACTGGAAACCCTATCATGATATTTCAGATGTTACTTGACTGTCATAATGACTAAGAGACATCTGTCTCCTATTAACACTTTATTTTTTACAGTTGCTTTTAGTTCAGCAGAAGTGTCTTAATGGAGAAGACTGGTACTCTTTTAGAAATAACATCAATAATGAAAGAATCCTTGGATGCAGAGCAAAACCAGCAAACACTTTGGCAACAGAACTCACTGCATTCATAAGATGTAACAGGAAATGATAGTGACTGGCTTTTGGGGGTGGGAGGTATTTGTGTGAAAGAAATTAACTATGGTCTCAAATTCCCATTAGGAAATCTATATGCATTTATTTATTTTTTAACTGATGATCGATCCCCTCAAATGTTAATTCAGAATTTTGGAGAATTTCATCTTAGCTGGGTCACTGATAAATAAAACCAGAAACAAAACAAAAAAACCCAAAACAAAACAAAACAAACAAAAAAAAAAAAAGGAAAAAGAAAACAACCCTTCTGCAGGCTATTTAGGCTTGGTATTGACTAACCAATAATTAAATACAGCTCTTTGCAGTAATCTTAATTATGGCTTCTCTCCACCACAACTAAGAAGAGCCACATAATAAACTGAGAAGATTAGCCAATTCTAACTGTTGAAAAACATGTATTTTTATTTTGGTGCACAGTTTTTATGCACATAAGGCCACAAGTCAAAAAAAGGAATCATTAAAAAAATAAAATCAAAGTATTCATGAATTTATGTATCGCATATCATAGTTCATTTTCCTTATATAAAGGAAGAAGCTTGGCCTAATGGCTTGCATAATAGGTCAAGAGTCTGGGACCTGGGGAAATGCGGAAGTGTGCTAGAAATCAGTGTGAATTAGGCAGATTAGTAAACAAGCTTCATTAAATTACTCAGACTTATACCAGCTGACAATCTGGTTTTCTCAGCTGGCCACAGCCATGGATTAGCTGTGCAATCTTGGTCTAGTAACACAGGTTCCACCTTTCACGGGAATTCAGGTCCACAGGAATCTAAGCCTGGGTTCTTCAGTCGCACTGATTTCCTACAGAACTAGGGCTTCAAGTGTCCAGCTCAGTTTCTGATAATAGGACCCGAGCAAGCTCAAAAAAAAACCCACAACCAAACAACGAAAAACAACAAAAGGAAAAGAAAAAATTCAGAGGCCACACAGCAAAACTGTTAAGCACAGGCTCGATTTTTAAGCAGGTCATTAACTCTCATTGACTTCAGTATGACAGCATCACACATCTAAAGGCAAAAGCATTCATATTGTGCTTCAGCAATAAGGGCCCCCAATTCAATTGCAAGAAAAACTTGTAAGCCTAGTTCAGGCCCTCAGCGTACTTAGGCTCTCATTATCCTACTGAAACTAATGCAGACCTCATTTCATTGAAAAATCAATGAGACATATGCTCTATGACACAAACTCCTCAGGCCTAAAGCCAACAGCATGGCAGGTGCTTAGGTCTTTTGTAGATCTGGCTTTTGGCACAGCAGAGATCCTGAGCTTTCTCAAGGGTATTGAGACTCAGGATCCCAATGCTTGTTTCTTCCACATTTAAGAGTTTAATGTGTGCTTGGGTGGTGGTTTTGGTTTTTTGTTGGGTTTTTTCCCCTCCCTTTGCTGCATCAGACTGCGAGATTCTTGCTTTCCATATCCCCTTCACGGTACCAGCAGTCCAGCAACACATACGTAGTCCCATCAGCATTGCCATCCTTTCCCCTGCATGTGCAGCAGCAGATGGATCCAGATGTGTTTTGGGTTAAGTCCATAGCCAGTTTTTTTGTGGACTGCATGGATAAACATTTAAAGCCCCCTTCTGGTTATATAAAAAGCAAGCTATTAAATGTTTACTCTTTCCTCTGTACTCAGAACTGCAAAGGCATACCACAGAATGTACAAATGTGTATGCAACCAGGCAATTACCATTTCTTTATCCCTTAAATAGGTAGAAGATAAATTTGAAAGAAAACAAGGAACAGAATCCTTCTCCCTTTCCTTTTTGTATCCTTTTATCTTTCAGTGTAGGAAGTTTACTGAAGCCTTGCCAACAATTCACTCAGGCTAATGAAGTGTATAAGTAATGGGATTAAATAATCTTAAACCATTACTATAGTGGCTAATGCAGATGTTTTCCCAAACTAAAGCAGATGAGTGGTGAAGAATGTGTGCTTGATTTAAAAAAGAGGAAAAGAAGCTATCAGTCTGCAAGCAGATGAACTCAATTCCAGCCTGAAGTCAGTGAAATGTTTAATTCCAGTTATATAAAGTTGCTTCAGTCATACTATGAATGCACCTTCCTGAAGTCTTCAGTGCTTTGCACATGGTCAAACTTGCCATGAAATTAACCTTAAATTTTTTATAGTGCAATCATTTTAGTGCAAACAAAAATGGAACTGGTTTAAAAGGTACATATTCCATCAAAAGATCATTTAGTTTTTAAAAGCCAATTAACAAAGCCCATATATCACTGCCATTGTACATATTTCATTAAAGGCACCGCAGAAACAGAACGAATAATGGGATATTGGTGACATTTTCAGACATACATATCATTGGTTTAGGTACTATCAGAATGACAGACAAGTGAAGAAAGGCAGCAATTTTTACTTTCAGAAGTGCAAATCCAATTCTGGAAGGGTCTCAGGCCCAGTGTTTATAAAACAAATTGTGAATTGGAGATTCAGAGAGAGAGATATCAACACTTTAAGAATGTTTTGATGCTTTTCTTATTCTGAACTACAATTACTATCCCTATACACTGTATGCTAAGGTCACACCAAGGTAAGGCCTCAGGCGTATCATGTGATGCTTCTTTAATCTGCAACTAGCTCTTATGGGAGCCTCTTAAAAGGTGCAGCTCCTCAGAGCAACGGTTAATTGTTCGCTTTAAAAGCTTCTTGGAGGCATGAAATGAAATTTTAGGGTAAGGCAAGCGTGAAAAGATATTCAATCCAAAGACCTTTAGTTCAGTAGAAAGACTTCCATCAAACAATGCAAAAGTCTTGATGTTTAGAAGTTTTAATACTAGCTTGCATCTCACCTCCTTAATCTCAGTGGGCACCACAATCTGTAAGCATTTTGCTATCGGGTTTCTCAATACAGAAAGCTTCAGAAAGCAACACTTATGCATAAGATCACTATATAGTCTGCTCCTTACAGAGCTCAAATAACTACAAAAAACATCTTTTTCCACTGCTTTGGACACTTCATTTCTGAGATAGGTTAAACCAGGAAACAAAATTCACCCAGGGAACTGAAAAGATCAGACTTCTGAAGAGCATGGAAAAACTGATGCCAATGGTACTGCCAGGGGATTGTCAGGTTTTAATTGTAAGGCAACTGTATGGCAGTAAAAGAAATCAATGTTTCCAATGTCTGCGTGTTAAAATCATGGTGAAAATAATAATGGATACTTACAATATAGCAGGGTTCACAGTAGGCTTTCTTCTCCACTGCATAGAAAGGCTGACCCCTCAGCTTGTTGTTGCACATCATGCAGGTGAAGCACTCCACGTGGAAGACCTGGTCCATGGCTGTGCAGCCAGTCCCTTCCCCAACAACATTCTCCCCACAGCGGGCACAGCGGCCTGTCACCAAAGGGAAAAGACATAAGTCAAAACAAGCTCCTGGTCTCAACTGCAGAGAAGGTACTGCCACATGCCTGTATCACACAACTGGTAAGGGGGACACAGAAGCTTAGTCAACAGAAGAACAATTTGTGCCACTGCTGGCTAAGATTCAGTGCTACTGAAGGTCACTCTGGTGCTGAACTACATGAAAAGATCTAGAGAGGCCTGAAACTGGCTCCTAAGCCTGCATTGGTACCAGTTCTACTACTGCTGCTGCTAGCCAGTGATCACCATATGAAGTCTGAGCCGCAAATGCAAACCATTCAGCTATCATCTAACCAAAGCTATATAGTCATCCTCAGCTCCTCACTTAGATGGGATAAACCTGTGCCTAAAGCCTTGCCTCCACATGAAAGGATTTTGTGGTAGGATGCCTCATAAAGCTGCCTAGTGGCAGTGGAATTGTTACCATTTAAAGAGTAGTTTTTCCTTGTATAGCTTAAACCAGTTCCCTCAATGGACCAATTACTTTTTTTCTGTTTGAAGATTAATACAGATTAAGATACTGTGTCTATTTAAAGCACAGAAACTATTCCTCAAGCAACTGATTTGTGGATACTTTATTCCTACCATCCTTCAAGAAAGGTGGATCAGAAGATACTAGTAAGGACTCTAAGAAAAGACAAGCCACAAGAGCTCTGTTTCTGAAAAAGGTCCTTAATGCCACATACAAATATTTAAGACAAAAAATCTGCATGCACACAAGACATACAAAAGGCTTGCTGCCTTGTTCAGATGGTTGTTGAAGATGTTATATGGCAGATAGATTTAAAGTGAAGATGGGATTTCAGAAAAAGAGGGTTTCTTAGATCATGGGAAAGACATTTTCTCAGGGAAGATTGTGGTAAAGACACGGTGGAAGAGGGTGGGTGGAAGGCACACCTTTGCCATTTTCCCCTGCCATTCATTTGACTTCTAGAAAACGGGGATAGCCTATACAGGTTTGATGTCCTTACCCAGCAATCACTGCTGAAAATAATTCATGCACAGAGTCATGGGAGGTATTTAGGACAACCTCAGCCACTCTACACAGGAGAGCCCTACCAAAGGCAAGAGAGCAACCATGGTCTGGGGCTTTGTCTCACTCAAAATGGTATTCTCCAGTTTGAGAATAATTGTGCTGTCCCCAGTCTTGGGACCTGGCACTTCTTTTTCCAGGCTCTGTGGCTGGAGTGGTGTGGTCACTGAGGGTGGGCAGGAGGAGAAGGGAAGCAAGATCTTCCTTCCTGCAAGCAGGAAGGCAGACTGAGTTCAAAGTAAGAATTACTTATAAATACTTATATGCATAATAATTAAATAATCCAGCAACAATATGTTGCTCTCTTATACCATGGTCTGTGTTTATTGGCCTTGTCAAATACTGCAAAACTTCCTAAAAGGACTTGGACATGTCTCGTCATCTCAATAGCAGGGCTGTTGTCCTTGAGCAGTGCACCATTGATGTCCCTGCACTCACGACTTCTTCCCTGCCTGTCCCAGACTCCAATAGGCTACATCCAGGGAACAAAGCATGTAAGCTACTTTTGGATCCCTCAGGATGTGGCAGGATGATATATATACATATTTGAGATATATTAGGAAAGCTTGGAAAAGAACCCAGATCATTATGATTTGCTAGAACGGCATAACTGTAGTTGGCATTATACAGGACAGACAGTTCCTGACTCAAACAGTTCCCGGTCTGAGCAACGTGATGAAATAAGTCACCAGATAAATCCAGACAAGCCTGGAAGCCCCCCAGAAGGAATGAATGATGTTGTATTTAAACTTAACTTTCTTTAGCATTTGTTATTAGCATTGTGATTGACAGTGTTGTGGTTTAATAACTCCACTGAAACACTTCTTGTGAGGACTCTTTTTTTACGAGTAGAGAAAGAATGCAGTGTTCCCAGCATGGTGGTGAGGCTACAGAGCATGGGGGAAGAATGGAAAAAACCATGAGGATTAGGAAGAAAACAACCAACCCACTGGAGAGAACCGGTGAGAGAGCAGCACTGCTTTGGGAAGGAGTCAGAAGAAACCTACTGTATACTGTATATTGCATGTACAACAGGAGAGTACTGCTCAGCCCTGTGTGCGGACAAGACAGAGAGTGCTCCAGGGCCTTCTCCAAACTGCTCATGTAGCTGGGCTGTAATACGAAGAGATGTCTGGGGAGCAGTTAATATCTCTATATATAAAACATGAAATTGAAAGCCATTAGTGTATTACTTTACACAGTGTTTTACCAGAGGGAATATTGCACTGAAGAATTTATTTTCCCTGGTGTGTCATTCTGTGATCATCCGGTATTATTTTTATGAGGCATTTGGACACAGAATAATGTAATGTCTATGCAAACACTTCTCAGCTTTCTTTGTTAACATGTGAGTAGAACATGTGGGAATCTTTTCTTCCCCTCCTCCTCTTCTCACATTCAGAATTTAGCCAGCTCTTGTGTACTTCAACATTTATCTTCCCCTTTGATCAAGGCATCTCTCCATTTTTCTGGAGAAGCTGTCAATATGTAGAATGTACTTCTAGCTGTACTTGTGTCGGGAGACCTGGGTCTGTTTCCAAACTCAAATACATACTCTTGTAAAATCTCCAGCAAATCACTTGGGGCCTTTGTACCTCCACCCTCTCTTTGACCAAAGACATCTCTGCCACCCAAAGATGCCCTGAGGCTACATTCCTACATGGCCTTCAGGTCAACTACACTGCTGGTGGCCAGGTACAAACCAAAAAGCAGCACAACAGAAGTCCTGGCCAACTTCTCCCCTTGAAGGTGGTATTTCCTTAGGCTTCCCTTCCTCTATCTGGGTTTTTCCACGGGAAGTTCCCATTCAGGCAGCAACAGACTTAAGCTGTGTATATTTATGAGAAGTCCAGCTTCTGCTATTATGTACACAGACAGAAATACTCCTGTAAACTCTTGCACGGTAAAGCTTAAAGAAAGTTTCCTTTTTGTATATTTATATGCAAATTACAATGCTGTGGCCTTGAGCAAACCATGTTCTTCATGAGACATGGCCATTCCAGTGAGGATCAAAACACAAACTCTCTGCCTAGCAACACCCCCAACTGACTCACTTGCCTGAAGGGTAAAAGCAAGTAAGCCAAAATATGAAAATTTGGGAGCTTACAACTGTAAGCCACTGTAGGTGGCTGGATCCATGTAAAGGCATGTGGGTAAATAAACAACCGATCTGGCTCGCAGTGATGCAGCCGTTAGAGACTCCACCTTCTACAGACCTTGGTGCAATTTTCAAAAAAAAGTGAATGGGTAGCTTCTCCCAGCACCTCACTCAAATTTGGTTGAAAATGGTTATTAGTTTTAACAGTTGTTGGTGAGGGAGGAACTGACAAGCAGACAGGCACATGCACACAAGCAGTGCAATTGCACAAGCCTCATTTCCTTAGAAAACCAGAAAAAAACCACTAAAAACAATGTATCTGTCATTATGTCTGATAAAAACAAAACAAAGGTTTGCTTTTCCTGTGTGCCAATTACCAACGGCGAAGGTATTTGTGGTTGGACTCACCACAATTAAGTGCCCACACATGTTCCCCATTTTAATATTTTCACACTACTTGAAATAAGCCAGTTCGTTGTGTAGCAGAATACCCATGAGTGAATACAGAACAAGTTGCACTGCTTATTGGGAAAGACGTAGCAAAGGCAAAGCTTGCAAGATTCAAGAACAAACAGATTGCACAAAAAAGATTACACAAATAATCTAAGAGAAAAATAGCAGGCAGCATATTACAGTAGAAACATAGAACAACGTGACCCATTTGCTTCCCACAGAGACAAGTAGCACTTAAAAGGCAGCTTAAAGACAAAAGACAAAATTAGTACTGAACTGCAAGAAGATGGAACTATGTCATTTCAACATTCTTCCTTTGCCCCTTCAGCCCTTTTTAGGTCCTTTTTCAAGATCACTTCAGCAAAACTAGAAGGTGATACACTGGCAGCAAGCCTGGGAGGTTGAGTCCTCTATTTTTGTATGAAAGAGGTTCACAACCTTGGCCGTGACCTTCCTTCAGCCTAGCCTGGCTGCCACATGTTGGTCTTACCTTGGGGGGACATATAGGGGTGCTCACAGAGGCGTTCCTGCTAAAACTGCTAGAAATGTCATCATTACTGAGTGGATCACAGGGAAACACTTCAGCAGCTGAGAGAAAACATCAGCTATCATACTTTATTCTAAAACCTCATTTACTGTCTTCCGTTGTATAAAAAATCAAAATATTGTAAATCTGAAGGAAGAGGGGGAAGGAAGGAGAGGAGCTCATATTGCACATGATGCTACATTCTAACCTCTCATTATTTTATTACTATTATTACATGGTATCTGCTTATACCATCACAGACCCTGGCTGCTCAGATTGCACAACAGCGCTGTTGTGCTGGGTATTGGAATTCACACAGAATTCAAAGAAGGGCCTGACTGCATGAGCTCACAATCTAATACAAGCAATAACTGGGTATAGATAGGAAATACAAAGAAGCAATCAAATAAAACCAGTCAGCAAGGAAAATTGTGGTCTCAGCACTCTAAATGTTTTATTATTGACAAGGAGGCTGCAGACAGCCCAGCAAAGGAAACAGTTAAGGAAGAATTTGAAAGAGGATCCAGAGGGAATTTGAGGGAAGTTTAATGGGATGCTTCTCAGGAAAGGACAAAGACAGCACAAATGGGAATGCAAATGCTTGAAGATTGAACATAGACACCTGCAGATGGGAAGGATGAGTTGCTGTGTCACTAGAGAATACTAGAGGAGAAAAGGGTGGGAATAGGTCATTACCGGCCATGCAAGTAAAGAAAGAAGCTTCTGTTTGATATGATGCAGAAATGAAACCAGAGGAGAGACTAAGAGACAGGAATGATCTGACCTAAGTTACAAGCTAGAGAGTGATTTCTGCAGCTGCATTCTAGCTGAGCATGAACAGGGAGAAACTGATTTTTACAAAA